TTATCAGGAATTAAGAAATAATAACAACCGTGCTAAACAAAGCCCAAATAAAGTTAGGTAAATTATGACTGAATTCCACGCAGACATTCACTAGAATCAAATTTTAATACCACAAATAAAGAACTAAAGAAAATAATAGAAAAAATTACATACATTTTTCTCCATTAAAAAGAAAAGAATGCACGACTACGCTGCCTTACACAGCCAAAGGCAGAGAAAATAAACAAAAATCACGAGGTAATATGGACAAGATTGTTTGGAAATATATGAATGGATTATCTGGAAAATCTGGCAATAATGCACAATCATAAGATCTTAACAGCGGTAAACCCTGTCTAATTAAAAAAAAAAGAAACATTCTACAGAACATCCCAAACCGACTCCAGCGGTGTGTAGCTTCACTACAGTGTTTCCCCACAATTATTGCCACCTCAAAAAATAAGCATCGGCACAATTTTTAAGGACCTTTTTGATAAACGCCCCCCCCCCCCCCCCCCAAAAAAAAAGCACTGGCGCATTTTTGTCAGAATCTTTTAAAATAAAAGCCCTACCCCCCCAAAAAAAAGCCTTAGTTAAGACTGTCAGAATGAATGAGAGACCTGTTTCTGAACAGCCAGTCACAGCTGAATTGAACCTAGTATACTGAAATTACAAAACTGCATTCATAGCCCTTAACTATTTCAAAACTAAGGAACAGATCATAATTATATAGGTTCCTACCTAATAGCCCAATGAATGCAAGAAGTGCCAATTTTACGGCTCTATTACCGCTTGGGCCTCCGATGCTAAACCCCCGAGACTGAAAGTTAAGCCAGAACAAGATAACTTTAACAGGGAGCTTTGATCTCAGAGGTGAAGTGGGAATGTAACGTGCTGGCAACATATTGCTACACATTATGGCAAGATAATGTACATAAGCAAAATAAAACAACCAAAGACACAACACAGGTAACAAGGATTTCAACTGTAAGTGCTGATCACATTTTCAACAAATAACCCAGAACATGTTTCATGAATCTGAGAATACACAATTTTCAAACAAACGACACCTAGAAAATTTGCACCATGACAATGTTTTGGCTTAAGAAAAATTTATGAACAAGTCAATTTAATGAAAATGAATAATTAAAATTAAGGCACTGAATACATGAAATGCAGGGGTCACATGAATTTACTTAATTATTTATGCTGGGTGTCTCATAAGTTTCCATACATAGAAAGAAAAAACATATCACCAATGTAATTACAAGCAAAATGCCCAACTCCATTGTGCTTACACATGCTGTTTCAGCAGTGGAGGATATGTATTCAAATGTTTGCTTCTTCTGTGTTCATCCGAATGGGTTGTGCCAGTGAATAACATGGCTGCGATATTTGCATCTTTCGGCCGAGACATCCAATTTCTGTAGGCATTTGTTGTGGGTCAGCCTTAACGGAAAATGTTTTCAAAACAATCATAGACATGTTTAGCATATTATATCAATAAATAAATATGGTTTTTATATTTAAAAAAAACACAACATTAAAATAAAATAAGCACTTATTTATAATCAGAAACTTGTGAGACACTCTCTACAACTAGTGAACAAGTGCTAGCGTTATTAGTGAACATTTAGTTGTTTGTTGTTTTCTATTCATCAAGACAGTGGCATAGGGGTTAGTGTGCTTGCCTGTCAAGACAGTGGTCTGGGTTCAATCCCTAACAGTAATAGGATTTGCTTCTGCCCAGTATGGCTCTGGAGTCGAACCAGTCACATAAACATAGGTATGAGGCCATTTCTAGGAAGGAATGGTGACAAGAAAGAGAATCTCACGGCATGGTGTAAAAAAAATGGCTTCTAACTGGTCGTCCCTGGAACCCTTGTGGTCCGAATATCATTAAAAAAAACAACCTCAACCCCCTTCCCTTCCCCGAAACAATGTATGAAATATATTTATGCTTGCATGTTCAGATAAATTAAATATAATGCATAAAATAAGCTACCCTGTATGAATAAGGCATTACATACATTACATGTGTATTCAGTGCATGAATGAGTGATGCCTGCAACTTTCAAATCCTAGTATTATGCTTACACAAACACAAGTATCCGACAGTCTTAAAATGATTACATGAATAATATTTTTTAAATACACACAGACTGAGGTCCTGCAGAAAGACAATGAATACCAGCATCACAAAGTTGACAGTCACTACCTTTCAGTAAAATCCTGTTTACTTTTATAACTTTGGATGTATTAACATACTATGTCCGATTTCACACAACCTGGATAGGGAATCTCAAAGAATAAAGAAAAATATCATGCAACAGTAAGAAGAAACTCATTACTGTAAGTTTTAACTCACAATTCCATGAAATTATATATCAATTTATATATCAAAGAGCAAGAAAATTCAAACAAAAATTCATTCTGTATTTAAAAAACATACATCTTTTTTATTAATGAACTCAACATCTTCACATATATTGCACGCAGATCTTAGCAAGGTCCAACATTCACTTAGTATACTGTGTGTGTGTTCCTGAAAAATATAGAATGAATCACTGAAAATCTATATTAATAAAAATGTTAATTTTTTGAGTCTGTTAACTAAAGACACGAAAACTACTGAACCGATTGCTTTCAAATTTTCACACAACGTTGCCTTTGACTCAAAGCATGTTTTTATGTCATTAAATCGCAAAAACCAAGAACAACGTAGCTCCAGCAACTGTCAAATCATTTTTTGTTTCTTTGCCGGCCCGAATTTGTTTTTAGTTGATTGGCCATTATTGACTGTTGAGCAGGGCTGCCAATAATAACTGAACTTTGCATTATTATATAATTTCATTTCCACCGACTACTTGAGTCTTTGGTAGCGTAGTTGTTAATATATTCTGCCTATCATGCGGGTTACCTTCGTTCGATTCCCCGCTAGATAATATAATAATTTATTTTTGCCCTTAATTGGGCGGCTGGCAACCTGTGTTGTGGTTTATGGCTTGGCTGCGATATCTATGCCTTTTTTCGGTTTTGTGTTTTACAGCTAGCCTGTGATAGCAACGACGTGATGCTCAATGATCATGTCACAGGTAATCTTTGTTCGCCCTTGAGAGGGCCGTTGGCACATTGTGATGTGGTTTACAGCTAGGTTGCGATATCTGACCCAAACTCTTCAGCCTTCGGTAGTATAGTTGTAAGTATTCCACCCTTCACGCGGCCGACTGGTTTTCGATTCCCCGCTGGGTGATAATTGTTCTTTTCCCCTTAAAAGGGTGGTTGCCGCGCTGTGTTGTAGCAATTTCTGCGCCTTTCGCCCAAAGACATCAGATTTAAGTAAAGTCCCAATTAGCCGCCCCGCGACGCTTCACTCGATCAAGAACTATTCGGCGATGACAGAAACTGTTAACTAAGACGGCTTACAGTCCAGTTTAGTTTGGGAGGAGACGGATGCCAAGCTCAATTAAAAATCGTCCCTTCGGAGAGGAAGAGATGATGAGTGTGGTGTATTTTTCTCTGCTATTTGTTAGTATAGTATACTCTTTACTGTGGGTTCTATCACTGGTTAGGTGATGAAGTTTTTTTTTCATATGCCAGGGGCAAAATTAAACTAAAAAGTCCGTGATGACAGCATGCGGCGCTAACACCTCTGGCTACACCGACCTACACAGACTGTAGTGACAGTTTTTGTTGTTGTGATGGTGGTGGTGGCAGTGGTAGCAGTAGGACTGGTACTGGATGGGTGATGTGGTAGCTGTTACACTGGCCACATTTACTTCACAGTACAAATTAATGCTACTCATTTTAGTCTGGGTGGACACGGATACCAAGCTCAATTTAGTTACAATTATTACGTCAGATGGTGACTTTTCCATCCTTCAGAGAGGATGATATGTTTGGGGAAAGGGGGGGGGGGGGGGGAGTAAAGGGAGTTGATGCCAGACACTGTTAACTGAGAGAGCTTAAAACATTATTTTAGTGTTCTCATTTCTTAACTATTTCTATTTTAATAATTTTCCCAGGTGATTTTTTTCAATCCTTCTGAGAGGGAGATATGATGTGGGGGGGGGGGGGGGGGTGGGGGGGGGGGGGGGGGGGGGGGGGGGGGGGGGTTAATGCCAGATACAGTTAGCTGAGAGAGCTTAGAAGATTATTTTACAGTTCTCATTTCTTGACTATTTCTATTTTAATAATTTCGCCAGAAAGGGAGATATGACTGGGTCGATGGAAAGGGGGGGGGGGGGATATATGACAGACACTGTTAGCTGAGAGCTATTTTCTTTCTTTTCCATTTCACCATTCTGAGCCACAGCAACACGTGGTCAGGTACAGCTAGTATCTTATAAACGTATATACATTCCTTACACATTTACAGTCAGAAATAGTAAAAGATATTTTAAATACACTTTCACCTTTTACAAAATGTAACTCTGTGGGACAATATGCAATAGTTATAATTAAACTAATATAATAATATATTTAAAGGAAAATTCTGCTATTAGTTTTATATGTCCAACTTTGAAGAGATGCATTTAAATGTTAAAATACAGTGTTCATGGTTCACCCCCCCCCCTCTTTTTTTTTTACAAGGAGAATATGTGGGCTATAAAAACTTGTCCCACAATTAAGATCACAAACAGATACCAGGGAACTGTTTGAAAAGGAATGCAGGCAGGGTGGTACTGACCCCTTCATTCATTAAGTAGTGCCTGGTCCAGAAAATATCACCTGACGGTGATCAGTGTTCTGCTGTGCCATAATATGTCACGACCTTAGTGCAGTCGATAGGAAACTTGCTTTCAAATCCAGCTGCGACTCGCTACAGCCCACAACTGATGTTCAAAACCAGGGGTTCACTCAGCCTCTAGGAAATAGGTACCAGAGTTAACACACTGGGGTAAATGGAGGAATGTCGCTGTAGCTACAGAGTTACCTGCCAACAGTTCCTCCAGGGAACTTGAAACAATACATAAAACACTCTTAACAAATAAAACATTTAAGTTAAGTATTAAACAAACCTATTTTTTTCTTCCATTCAACTCAAATACGGTGTAATCCTCGTCATCATCATTACCATCTCCGAGTGGTTCCATCTCTAAGTCTCTCTGATCCCCATTCTGTGCAATAATTCTATACTTTCTTGACTTTGTACGTCTTCTACGCAACCTGAAAATAAGACACATAAAGAAATAAGTAAGTAATGTAATTTAGAAAAAGAAAACACAGATATTAGTTTAAATTAGGAAAAATTTAATATTTTGGGATATCCCAATGCATTTAATGCCAACACAGCATTAATAATTCTGAATTTGCTAAACTTTAACTCTTTCTACACCAAGCAGTTACTTTTTCTAGTTAAAATTCCATGCAGCTGATACTGAAGGCAACTCTAGCTTGCCAACTGGTCCGCTCGCTCATTACCTTTTACGCCGGTACGATCAAGTGTGCAGATCCAGGTGAGAGAGGTTAAGTGCGATTTCTAAATTTTTTGTATCCATCAGAGCATATACCACCTGTTGTGATTTTCGTCCTCCTATCTTTCTACTTCTTTCTATGTGTGCTGATCAATATATTGTCTGTCTATTATTTATTTGGCCTCAAGGGTTTCCCATCTGTTTAATAACCCAAAGTAAAAGTGAGAGGATTTACTTCACTGCAACAAGTTTTATCCCATATGACTCAGTCTCTCTCCACACAGAGCACGACCTCTGTAGCTCTGGCAACGTTACAAAGCGATCCCCCATAAAAATTGCCCTCGTGAACTGGGCGTAACCACTGTGAAACAAACCAACCCTTCAATATCATTACGCTATTTGCACCCTGTATATGTGAAAGCACAGCATTCTAGCAGTAACTGCCATGAAATTATTTTGAAGTAACTGAGGCATAGCTTGTGGTGTTAATGCTGGTATGAAACTACCACAACAGGTGCAGTAAACAAAAAACAACAACAGGTGAAACACAGATATCAGAACATACTGAGCACGTGCGGTGGTGTAGAGAGAAGGGGACAATTTGCAACAGATACACAACACACCTGCAGATGCAAACAGGTGTCACCATAAGCAAGATTGATAAGTTGCTACATTAATAAGAACTAGAAGACTGCAGTCATCATTATCCTGAACCAGGCTGACAAGTTTGGAGTGCCATCATTTGCTATCTCACTTCTCAGATCAAGCCTGTGTTCTTGTCCTGATTATGCCATGTGGTGACAGCATTCAACCATTTATCTTTCTGTTTTATGCTAACTCAATTCTCATCAATTTGTCACTTTGTTTTCAGATTTATTTCTTCTTTAACACATCTAAAAATCTGGACTGAATTTCTCCAATTAATTTACAATTTTAATTAGTTTCTTGAAGGACTGCTCAATACAGTTTTGAATGTGTCCCTGGTATTCTTTGCATTTACATATTCACTGATTAAATATTTTTATAGCAGGTTTGATATTGTTCAACAGTATCTCATGTTTCTTTCTATCTTAATGAAAACAGATTTAGGAGCAGTTTTGAGTCTGCTTCTAGCATTTATTTTCCTGCCCATCTGGGGATCCGTTCATACGCTAGAGTTAACCGGAAAATATTATCTTTGGAAGTAAATGGTCAAGCACGTGGGCGAGGTGACTAGCTTCAGTACAGAGTGGATGCTTAGCAGGTTTGCCTTACTGAGGATTACAGTGTTCGGAATCATGTCCTGCCATTCAATATTCAGCAGCTTTCAAAGACAGGTACATGAAACCGATTCATGTGTTCTGCATGGCGCTGATACAAAGTCTACATTTAACATGCGAACACAGGTAATAGCAGTTCCAACTTAAACGCAAATGGGTCACTCTGTGTAGCAACAAAAAGACACAGACTGCAGTCTCAGCAAATCCAACAGCATACACACTTATTAAATGCATAAGGCAGCAGTCAAAAGTGCCAACTCGAACAGCACAATACTAGAAATGCAGTTAATCAGTGATGGAAGCATCAACTGCAACAGATAAGCAGTTGCACATGCGATCAATCACAAGGCACCACCAGTTTTGTGGCAATAGGCAACTCACCATTTTCTGAATCTAAAGTATACAACACAAACCATAGTGGAAACAGTCAAAAGGCTTTATAAATGACATTTACAGCTGACAGTTATTGTGTGTTTAGCCATGCACTCAACAGTTGGGCAACAAAATATATCCTTCCAGTCTGGAGGAAAATGCAACGGCCAACTACGGTCAGATGCAAAAACTTGTCCGGACTAAAAATAGTAATACTGCCTATTGACCAGAAGTCCTACACAGGGCACAGTAGAGGGGAAGATTAGTGATAAGTGAGAACCATCATCACAGAGTAAAACGACTGATCAACCAAACACCTTGTGCCCTTGGTGAAATGTGCATAACTGGCTACTCAAGGCTGCCCCCCAGTGTCCAGCAACATCAATCATCAATTCTCTTTTTGCCGAGTGACACATGAGGCTTCAGAGAGGACTTTCTATGCCTTCACATCCTGTGCAATCTTCAGTGTAGTTTTCCATGTCAGAGATGCAGCACTCAGGTCACTTTCCATTGTTCATCTCCATGTTGTTTTTGGGCACCGCTTCTTTCACTTTCCCTCTGGTGTCTATGTGAGAGCTGTTTCGGCAGGTATATTATTAGCATTCATTCTCATGACCTGGCCAAGCCATTTCCATCTTCTCCTGGTAATCATACTTTCTAGAGGTTCTTGATTTATGAGTAGTTTAGTGTTTGAGATTGTCTCTAGCCAGAACATTTTGATAATTCTTTGCAGACATGTGTGGTGGAATGTGGATAGCTTGTGCATATCCTGTTTGGTCATTATCCCTCCACTGTGCTCAAAAAAAAAGAACTGACAAATGATGCTCTTGTAGAGACAGTTTTGTTCCTCTGCAGCAACTGTTGGAGTTCCAGATTTGCCCCATCATTCCAAAAGTGGCTCTAGCTTTGTTCAAGCATGACTGTAGGTATTCTTCTGTCCTTCCTCATAGGGACACCGCACTGCCAAGATATGTAAACTGTTTTACATTTTCAAGTGTTTGGTCACTGGTTGCTAGTTTGGACTGTTTGTCATGATCTTAGTTTTCCTTGTATTTATTCTCAGCCCACCATTTCTGCTGTGCAGTCTTCTTTTTTGTTTTCTTGTATATTTTTATGTTTATGTTATAGGAGTGCTACATTAAGCAACGTAGACAAGGATATAGAGTTCTGCATGCTGTTGTGATCTTCTCTCGCACAGCATTAATTAAATAGCCAAGATTAAACAGTATTAAATGTCTATGGTTAAGAAGCAGAAGGAAATTGACATTTCGAGAGCATGCATCTTTACTGTAGCAACATGCAGATGTGAGTCGTGGACTATCTTCCAGTCCTTAACTCTTTGAGGTCCACACGACGGTGTGAGCGTTGTTTGAGAGGGTTCTGTTTTGCCCAAACAACAGTGTCATCGTCACTCATGAGTCCCTTATATTTTGCTTCGCACGCGACTTCGTACTAGTTTCTAATGTTTGGAGGTATGATTCAATTAATCAGGGAAAGTCACTCTGCCAAAATCCTTTTAGTTTCATTTCCTGGACTAAACCACACGTGGTTAATTTAAGAGAAAACACAGCGAAATTTTTTTTAGCAGTAAGTTCATTTTTGAGTGCCATGAATACCAATGTTCCAACTACAAGTACAGGTCGCAGAATGCGTCTTTCTGTTGCCGAAGCTCTGAAATTGTTTCAGTCAGATGTTCCTAATTGTGATAATGATAATAAACATTTAGATTTTTCGGAAAGTGATTCGGACGGTGAATTTTCACCAGTGAAGCTGAGCGATCAGCTGTTCGGAATCTAGCGATTCTGATGAGTTTATTACACAGACAATGTCCCATACTACCGTATTTATGATGTAAGAGAAGGAAAGTGCTCTAAACAAAGAGACAGTACTATACTATGGCTAAGCTACACTAAAATCATCGCGGCTACAGTCTGTAAATAAAATAACTGTACAAAGTAAAAAGTGTGTGTGTAATGGCTTATTTTTCTGCCATTTTTTCTCTGAAATTTTGCTCAGCACTCTGTGAGAACTAAAAGCTCCTGAGTGCTAAACTTACCCAGAAAGTTATTATAACTTTGGAATATGTTAGGAAATTGAAAAAACTTTGAAGTTTTGTTCTCAAATTTGGATATGTACTACTCTTGTGGCTGCAAAACCATGGTAAGTGAAGAACTTTTTTGTTAAATATTGTCCTTGTGAAATTAACACCTGCTGAATTCTTTCACACTAACTATAACAAAATTAAACAAACACATATCATCGGATTCAAAATATACATTCATTTCTCTTTTAAAAAATATATACTTTTATAGGGATTAGAAGTATATTACAATCTCTACAGCCTTTCTTGTGCACCCACCCCTCTGCCATTTTTGTAAAGGGAAATTAATTTGGGCCAAGTCTGTCAAAATTCATGGGCCTTAAAGAGTTAAGAAAGAAAATAGGGACCTTTGAGCTGAAATTCTATAGAAAGATTTTCAGAATATCATGGGCAAAGAAGAGGAGAAATACTGACATTTTAAAGGATCTGAACATCAAGGAAGATTTGTTAAGAAACAGCATCTTGTTTCGGAAATATTTTGGACATATCAAGCGCCATAGCGGGCTTAAAAAAAAAAAAAAAAAACCAGCAGAAGGCATGGTACCATGATGGAGGGGCAGACCAACACAAAAATGGACACAAGAAAATTATTGTCAAGTGACTCCTTGAATATTAAAATACATGAGGCATGAGAGCTGGTGACAGACCACGTTTCTTTCAGGCAGACTGATGGCAGCAACGTTCTGAAAAGGACCTACTACATAATGATGATAGCATTATTGACATAATTGATGTCTACTGCCAGACCAGTCATGGAAACCACCCTGTCTGCTTGAACACCGGTATAAGGACAAAGGTTAGACAGGTTTTTATGTGATTCTTTTAACTCTTTGAGCCCCAGTGGGTTTAGCATCACAGGCCCAAAGGGTAGTCAAGAGAGATGTAAAATCGGCGCATCTTGCGTTCTTTGGGTTTCTAGGTAGGAATCTATGAGCGTATGACACGTTTCTTGGGACTCAAAGAGTTAATAAGAGAATCCATTCATGTCTGATAAAGCTGGCCTGGATTTTCTTATGCATATTCACTGAATTGCTTATTATGGTTCTTGGGTACCCATCAATTTCAATCCCCTTGATGCAGATATTGCCTCCATTGTGAGGCTGCTGGTTGTAACAACAGCAAAGGCACAACTCATCTTTTTAATATGGGGTTTCCCTCTTTGTGCTCAAGATGAACGTCCATGCACTTCGCTTGCCCCGGGTGACCAATCCATTCATGTAAACCACAGCAACACTGACATGTGTCTTCTCATCGATCAGCATTTTGACTATGCCAGGGATCTATTCTCTGCAGCTTCTATCGAGGGTGATATGGATAGTAATGCTGATGTTTGAAACATGTGACAAAAAGGCACACATTCATTGCCAAGATTAATGTCTGGAAAGTGGCAAATCTGCTGGGTAGCATCCTCTGCATGACCCTTTTAAAACTTGCCTGTTTTAAGTCAATTCTGTTTTGGCTGGAATATTTCACTGTGGAGAGGGAAAGAGAAGAGGCAGACCAAGAATTACCCAACTTGAAAGGCTTTAAACATAAAAATATCTATATCTGACAGTTAGTTATGGAAGCATTTGATCAGCCAGTCAACAACAACTGGTGACCATCACTATGGGTTAAAGTTGATGTCTACAACTAAAGAGAAACTGGTTACAAAGCACAAGGAAGATCAAGCAGCAGAAAGACTGAATGATATGATCTTAAAATAAGCATGATGTCGATAAAGCTAGTACCTGAGTTTCAAATCACAGAAAACAATGCAAAGGTAGGTTTAACACCTCTATTATATCAATCTGATTAAATTATGTCACACAGACTGGGGATCTTCATGGCAAAGCAAGTAAGCTGTTTGCCCCAAGCTTTGAAAGTCCTAGGTTTGTTTAATGAGGGTGTCATTTGGTTTATGAGTGCATTTTTTAATGGAGATCTTTGTAGATTGTCACTTGAGTTGTGAAGTTCATGCTTTGTGCAATACTTTTGGCAGACCAGACAGTGAACAGTTCAACAAAGTAAGCCATACAGGATAAACCCCATCACAATGAAGCAATCTTCTGTTCTTGGCTTGATTGTTGTACAGACCATCATAATGTCATCACAATGACAAATGGCACTGTGGTCTGTCAGTAATTAGGCCATTAAAATATAACTATGAACACAAAATCTAATTACAAACTTTAGCGTGCCTTACCAAACAGTTCTGGTCACAAAGTAAAGAACAATGATGCCGGTGATTGCTAAAGTCACGTACAATGTTCGTAGAAGCATATCTTTGTTTTCAATCATCTGGTTTTTCAGCGATTTCAAGTAACTATCATTGCCAACAGAATGTGGGTTGGAGCAATTTGTCTTATTCTGCGTATTAGCCTCCAAGGAGCAATTTAATTTGTCACTGGCATGCATATTTTTTGCATCTTCTGGCCCAGGAGTACCGGAGAGGGTAGGCGTTGAAGTTGTTGTGTTACTATCTCCATTTCCTGGTGGTGCGGTTTTATTTACATTTGTTTCAACAAAAGGAATAAGACTGTTTTTGTCACTTTCTCGCTTGTGAACACGACTTAAGCCCAGATTACCCCTACTTTTTGTCGACACAACTGTAGTGAAAGTAAAACAAAATACTAGCAGAAACGATATTAATACTGTCGCAGACATTGAATTTTTGGTAATAAGGATTTACGTAGCTTAAAACTATACGTATTCATAAACGATTTACAACATAAGTCTCCTTGATTAAATAAGAAATTAGAAACCGCAAGCGAGACACTGTGACAGCTTCAGAAACGTCATCTGTGTTGCCCACACAAGTTGTTGTCCGACGACACGCAGCACACAACGTCTGCTAGGTCTGGCTCTCGCTGCATGTGCATATTAAACTAGCCTTCAAAACTACAAACACTGATTTGCAATTAAATATTGAAATGATTTATTTAACCACGTAAGATTTCATCCTTACTGATAATTAGTTTCGAAGTGTATGTAATCATTAACGTGTTTAACAAATAAAGTAATTTGTTGCGTTTCTGTTGCGGGTTTGGCCTGTGAAAGGACAAACAGACATTGGTAGAAAAACAATATCCGGCGACTTGTGTGCAGACGACGACGAGCGTGGATCACAATAAACAAAAATAAACCACTGACTGAATCACCGTCAACGGTGCAGCAGTTAGCGACACTGTATATGTGTTATATATGTAGTTCAGATTAAACGCATCCAAATTATCTTCTAAAACACGGTGTTGTATTTTATTTTCTAAATTCTTAGCAATATTCTACCGTTTCTTTCGGCCAGAACCCTTCCTTGCCTTACTAAGTCTTAGTAACCAACCGCAAAGCAAAATAATTACTTTGTTTTTAACGGTCGCTAGCCGGAAGGCGACGGCTGCTTAATGACTAAGCTGCAGTGCAATTACGGAGTGGACAACAGGGAACGAAACAAAAGTTGCCTGTCATGCTATCTTCCGAATAACGGTCCCAAATTATCGAGGCCGAAAATATACCCTAACAGGGCCTAAGTCATATGTCAATTGCGAACTTCCGCCACCGCTGAGAGTATCTCCCACGCCACTACGTGCGGCGTGGATTGGGGTTAAACTAGATGGCTGGGACTCACGAGCAAATAAAATGAATGAAGCTGCAAGAGATGCGGTAGCTGTTGCTCGTGAGTCTCAGCCATCTAGTTTAGCCCCAATCCGCGTAGCGGCATGGGAGATACTCACGGCGGTGGCGGTAGTCACCGGAAGTGCGCAATTTAAGTCGCCGGAAGTCTGCAGTTGACATGTGACTGAGGCCCTGTTAGGGTATATTTTCGGCCTAGTTAATATGGGACCGTTATTCAGAAGATAGCCAATTTTAAGTTCTTTTGGTTTGGAATAGTTATATTATTCCTCATAATCTGTTCAGTTAAATAGGTTAATGATAACATCATCATCAGTTTCCATTTATTATTGCCCACAAGGGTTAATAAGCATTGTGGGAACAAACGGGATAGTTTACAGTTCAGTGCTGAATTATTGGCAGCGCTAATTGCAGCTTATGTTTGAACTCGTTGAGGCATCATATCAATGAAATGACAGAATCATTTGATATTTTCTTCTAAATTAATTGAATGCAAGGTATTGCTCCCACAGTCAGTCTGTTAGTATAATTGTTCACTCAGTCTCAGATGCTTTAGTTGGTGGCTTTCCTGAATCATCTACTCCCACATTTGTTAATTTTACATAAGTTAGTTCTGTGCCTTTTAAGGATGTTGCAAACCAATCTCAAAACTTGACTATGATTTTACTAGGCAGTTTTACATTCAATAGTTTGTGCCATTGCTCACTGAATGGTCGGCACTTATGACACAAAGCGATCTGCTACCAAACTGCCTGCAGTTGAGATTTAAAAAATGGGTATTTTGGAATTATGAAGTATGTTCACATTACCTTAGTCACAGACAGTTTTACATAGGTGGGCTTTTTAGAATGTCCAAGTTTGCAGTGGGGAGTTTACAGCTGGTCAGCTCTAAGAAGACAGGTGCCATTTAGCCATGTATGTAGTGGGCTAGAAATTCTACTGACCTTCACTGCTACAGTTCTAGTCATATTTATTTCATTTTATATCTTCTGCATCTTGCTTTTAACCTGTTTAAATGGTTTTGCAGTCTATTCTCTCTGTAGAACAGGCGCTCATCATCGTCAAACAGTCCCTCATGTAATGTTTGTGAGTCTGTTTCGTTGCTTGAAATGTAAATTTGCTTATTGATTGGCTGCGTTTTTTTGGGTTGACTGCTTTAAAGAGCCTGCTTCTTTTGGTAATCTTTGTAGATATTAAATAAGAGGGGGAAGATCACACATTCCTGTCTCTCCTGTATTGATTATGAACGTATCTTATATACCTTTTTTGTGATCTTATGTCCTTTAGCTAGTATGGTGTACATTATTATAATTATATATCTCTAATTAATCAGACATGAAAAATAAATAATGTTAGAGCAGACATTACACTTAACATGAAATTTAATGATTGTCAATACTGACAACGTGATATTTAATGGTTGTTCATTCAAATTTCTGTACTGTCTCTGAATGTTTGTTCATTCAAATTTATGTACTGTCTCTGAATGTTTGTGTGTGTCTGTGTATATATATTATATATAAGAGCAAAATACAAAAAAAAAGGGGGGGGGGGTGTGGGGGCATGCACCCACTGCTTCTCTAACAAGCATGCTGTAGGAGGTGACTTATTAGTTTGTTTCCTTTAAAGTCAGAGTGCATCTGCTTGAGAGGTGAGGAGCCAACAGTCTGCATGCACCTTTCACTCCGGTTAACCGCAAACTCAGCACTTTCCCTAGGCTCCAGCTCCCTGAGTGTACCACTTGTCTAGTATTTCTACAGTGGACTTTTTTATGAGACACCTAGTTAATACCACTGGTTCTTTTTGGATCTGTAGTGTTAAAGAGGTAATGATATGAATTTATTAACTAAAAATACAATTTAGGGAAGTTTCCTACTGAACCAAATGACTTTAAAAAAAAAATTAGTTGAGTCGCATCTTGCCGTAAGCCTTAGTGATAGAGGTAATAGGGTCATTGAATGAGTCCCTTGATACATGTCTTTTTAAGGCCCGGTGAATGTATTCCATTTAATGCTGTTCTTGTTTTGTCATTACCCCCTTTATATTTCTTTATATATATTAAAAAAAAAGTTTTAAAATGTAGATAAATATTTTATAAACAAGATTATTATTGACCTGTGTAAAATGTTTGTTTAAAATTTTTCTGTAATTTCCACTCGTCCGTAGCCCATTTGATCTTCACTCTTTAGTATTGCAGAAAATGAATTTTTTAAAAATGCTTTTCTTTCCTTTCTTTTTTTTTTAAGGAGGGGGGGGGGTGGGGGGGGGGGTGGGTTGATTTTACACTCTTGATATTGTTGTACATAATCTCAGACAGACATTAGTTTTTATGTTTGAATGAAATGTTGTATGTGTGTGCATGTATATGTACTTACAGGATAAGAGGTCTCTGTGGTAAAGTGGTCAAACTGTTGGCCTCATTCTGTGAAGGTCATAGATTTGTTTTTATATAGGATAAAACCCAGTACATTGACTTAACCTTAACTTAACCTATACTCACAGGTCTTGCTAATATATCTCATTACAGCATTGAGAGAATAGACACTCACATGATGGCAGCCTGGTGATCAGTCACCAAATGTGTTCATGTTAAAAATCAGAGGTATCTCTTCTTGTATGTCGAAGCAAGAGACAATGTCTTCCAAACCAGTAAATGCAGAAAATGCACAGACATACAAGCTGGTGGTTGTTGGAGATGGTGGTGTTGGCAAGTCTGCACTTACCATTCAGTTCTTCCAAAAGCTGTTTGTACAGGATTATGATCCAACTATAGAAGATTCTTACATCCAGTACACAGAAATTGATGGCCAGTGGTGCATATTGGATGGTAAGTGTTTATTTTGAATCAGATGTCAGTTAAGCTATTGAATGAATTCTGGTGGATGCCATGAAATAACACAATAAGCTTACTTCCAGGAAGGACTTTTGAGAGGAAGAAGACAATATTTGTACAACAGCATGCTACTGAAACAGTCAGCATCTTCACCTTAACCCTGTTGCTCCGAGAAGCAGCAATACAAGACATTTCTGTTTAGGCCCAATTCCCCATAAAAGTCACTTTCCAGTTTGTGTAGTGATGTGTGCCTGGAAAACTTAGTTATTGACAGTGTTTGCATCAGGTTAATATTTGAGTATATTTACTTTAAAAAAAAGCTTTTAGGGTTTCTTCTTATGAATCAAATGGCTTTTAGGGTTTCTTCTTATGAATCAAATGGTGTTTATAAAGCCATTTTGATGACACAATTTTCGCATCGCTAAAATGATAAGAGGTTAAGGACCATGTCACGAGTCACCCAGTATGTATATATTAACTTTTTTGGCCCAGGAAGTGTATTAAGTGCTTCTCTGTTTATGTTACTCCCCTAATATATTTAGGAAAAAAAAAATTGTGTAACATTTCTTAACAATTTATTAGTGATCTATGCTTTTTAAAGAACTTTTTTATTGAAGACATAAAAAAAAAGAGTTACGGGGTCGTCAGGGTTTGAACATTTGCTGCCAGAGATAGAGCATATGTGATACAGTGTACAAATTCATGTGTGTACATGCACAGATGCATGTACGAGTATGTTTCAGACATGGATTTGATCTTTGAACATTTTCAGAAAAACAGAAGTAATGATAGTTATAAAGAAATGAATGTCTTCTTTAATGCAACTTGAAAGTAAGTGGTAGCAGTCTGAAGCATGTAACGGTGTTGAAATCTTGGGTTTCTTTATTTTGGTCTCTGTGGTAAAGTGGTCAAGTCACCTTCTTCTTCTCCTCCTCCTCCTACTTCTTCTTCCCTTTATCCCCCAATATAGTATAGGTCCTTAACCAGTCAGGCTAAGTTGTCCTATTCTTTGCTTCTCATCCAGTTTACCCTATTTTTCAAGAGCTCTCTTCTTCATGAATATTTTGTGTGGGGAGGGGGGAGAGAATCTTTTGACCTTGAGGAATCCAGTGCAGAGACATTCTGGTTATATTGTTCTCAGGTTTTTTCAATGTATGTGTTCTAACTAGTGCCAGCATCTTTTCCTCATCCTTTTGATTTAATTGAATTTATGTAGTTTTCTCCCAGAGCTCAACGTTAGGGATTCTATCACACAGTTTAATTAGTTCCATCTATTGAAAGTGCATTGTCTTTCTAAATTTTGCACTGCAAATCACGAAATATTTTCTATATACTGAATAAATTATCTCGTAACTTTGCAAAATACACTATCTTGTCTCAGTACTGCACTTTTGTGACACTGATATTTACACTGTCTTGTCCGTGGCTTTTTATTTCCTGATGGTACACAAAGGTACAGAGTATCGGCACCCTTTTTAGGCATTAGTGATGGTAATAAACACTTGAGAAGGGTGAGTACTGGCACATTTTTTAAGACACTGATGATTACCAGCACCTTTTTTCCTGATTGTATCTGAATATTGTAGTATCTGTTGTACTGAATTTCTCTTCACAGTCCTGGACACAGCCGGACAGGAAGAATTCAGTGCCATGCGAGAACAGTATATGAGGAAAGGTGATGGATTTCTGCTGGTCTATTCTGTCACTGACAAACAAAGCTTTGAGAACATCAGCCATTTTCACACTCAGATTCTGAGAGTGAAGGATAGGTAAGAGAATCTGGCCAGGATAAATCTATATTTTCATTCAGTATTTTTTTTAAAGTGCTAATATAGCTACTGGTGTTTCTCTTCTGTCCGTAGATGTTACTGTGTCACAGTGTAATTTAAAAGAAAATGGATCACGATACCTCTGCAATGGGAATGTTACATGGTGGGGCGTCACTCTCTTCCATGGTACGACTTTCTTACGACTGTCAAAAAGCCACAAGTGTGGCCTGTTTCTAAAATGCCTGCCATGGGAATCTAACACGGGCACAATAACCCTTTCACCCCCAAAATAGTTGTTTTTTCTGACATTTATGGGTTTTTGTTGGCATAACATTAGAGCATAAATATATTAAACAGTCATCTGAATTTAAATATCTTGTAACAACATTCACTGAAGATGGTAAATTAGACGAAGAAATTGACACTGCAGTAAAGCTGGACAAGTATTGGGACAGCTAGCACCCCCTCTTACAGCATAAGGCAATCCCACTCAGCCCAATCTCATACAAAGCATATTTATTCACACATTATGTTACCAGTGCCAGACCTGGTCACTCACAACAAAACATAAAAGAAAATTAGTAACCATGGAAATGAGGTGTCTTAGAAAGAATTTAGGAGCGACCAGAAGAGATAAAATCGGGAATGAGGTCATACGAGATGAAGTTGGCACAGAACCAATTCTAAATTATGTATAAACACAGCAGATCAAATGGTTTGCCCACTTGGAGAGAATGCCTTCTGATGCTATACCTTTCAAGGCATATACGAAAAGAGGAGAGGGACGTAGAGCAAGATGTAGACCAAGAACAGCATGGAAGAATAACATCAGAGAAACTCTACAGTACCATAATGTGTCTTTGGTCGAAGCAGCCAGAAAATCACGGAGCAGAACCTTATATCTCCCTCGGCAATTGAAGCGGTAAAAGAGGACATACAGAAGAAGATGGCATGAAGTCTTTGGGCAATGACCACTACACCTATATAACAGCAGTGGTACTGGCTGTAGCTACATGGAATGTAGACACATTGGGCATAACCGTATATACCACACTATTTTGAGGTATTATTAGGGGTTAATAAAATTTCACATTTTAAGAATGGTGTCATTGTTACATCATTATAATCACATATGATGTCACTAGTGGCTAAGTCAACAACATAACATTTATCATGGTCAGAGGGAAGGAAAGCAGTTAATAATTCTTTGATCCGCATGTATTTAGTGATTAATTCTGTTTATTTTCAAAATAATGTTGCACAACAAGATTAAAAATGAAAATTAAAAGGATTGTTTTTTTTTAGTGATTAGACAGTCACGGTGTAGTAGTGGACTTTGTGTTTGCCTTTCTGCTTGGTTGTCTAGGGGTTTGACCCACTGGATGTTTATGAAACTTGCACAGGATTCTAAATTTCTTCTGTGCCTTCTTCTCTTTTTTTTTTCTCCCCTTGTTTCTCAGGGTGGCATTTCAGAGAAATACAAAGGTGTGTTTATTTTTAACAAAAGTTTGAAAAAGGTACTATTTTACTTTTTTTTTTATGGGGTGAAAGAGTTAAAGAATCATGTTCACTAACCTCTGAACCACAAATAAGGAAGACAGAATAATAGCACTGTAACCTACAAAACACGTCAAATACGTCATCTGTGGAAGGTTCGCATGGGTTAGCTTGTATGAGGGTGTATGCTCAGTTTGAGAATAGAAGGCAGATGAAGAATGTTGTGTGTGTTGTCGATTTCAGTCCTACATCAAGTTGTATTTCTTTAATACATATTTCCTGTCAACAAATTAGTTCTCTGTTTATAAACTGATGTGTACAAAAGTTGGTATGTCTTTTGCCTGGGACTCTTCCTGGTATACATTTTGTCTGGCTGCCAGATATATTTCAAAAATCTGCCTCTCTTATTTAAACCTAAGACCATCACAGCTGGCATGCATCATGCTAGTAACTGCATCACATTCGGCTCCCTTTATAAATATTAGTTTAACAATGTGACACGTTTTCTGTATCCATGTTGGATAAACATGACGGCACATTGACCTTGACTGCATACAGCAGATCAAAGTGAACTTACCAGAAACTGTAGCTGAAAGATTTATTGACCTTGTAAGTAGCTGCAAGTTGCTACAGCTGTTACAACGTGTACGGCAAGTCTGTATGTAACACAACCACCAAGATATACGCTTTATGTTATCAAAATCAATAGCTAGCTGCAGTACATACAATAAACCACCATACAGATTACATGCTGCAGGGGCACCGATAGATATGTTTATTGAAGTACTGAAAGTTTACAGGTCATTACTACAAGCATGTTATAAATAGATAGCAACAGCAGATGACAAAAGAATGGTGTATAAAAGAGCTTTTATTGAAATGTGTGGACAAAGTGTCAGATCTTATTGTTTGAAAAAAATGAATGAAAGTAACTGTGTTTTCAGGATAAGTAGAAGAATATGTAACAGGGGTCCTCAACTTTGTATATAAGCAACTTTTTGTGTGTGGGTAGAGAGCTGCATGCCATAGTCAAGGATCAAACGACTTGGCATGAGTTGGTTGACTGCCTATGCTCCATTGGGGGCTAGAAAGGCAGAAGAGAAACAGAGAGACCTTCCTATCACTGAAAGCCCATGTGTGGGTTCCTGTGTCCTGTTGGGGGGGGGGGGGGGGGGGGGGGGGTTATTGACCCTCTGAACCCTAGCAGACAGTGAAAAGGCGAAAAATGCAATGGTATGGACATGTAATAAGATCTAACGGCCTCTCAGAAACAATACTGCAGGGCTCAGTAGAGGAGAAGAGGTAGACCAAGAAAGACCTGTTTACAGAACCTGACTGACTGGACAGGCCTCGGGCATGCAACCTTGAAGTCCATCTTAACTGACCGCCAAAGGTGGAGAGAGTTGATCAGACAGTCAACGGAAACTGGTGACCCAATGACATGTAGTGTTACGGGATAATGATGATGAACCCTTGCAAGCATGTCACGACAGGCGACTAGTTAAGAGGTTTGCTGAAATTGGATATGTGAGCCAAAAGGTGCAGATATCACAGCCTAGCTGTAAACACCAACATAAGGCTATTAAGCCTTGAAATTATGAACACAGAAGAAGCTCTCACTGAAATTGTTCCAGTCTCGTGTTTGTAGGCCAGACTACTAGTCACTCACCTCTGTGCATGTATACCATAGCATCCACAGGAATGCTGATATGGAAGCCTTTTTCTGGTGGTAAGCAGCAGTATGCAGTACAGACACTTTTTTTAGGCTTCATTTTTTTGCACAGCTATGTTAAATACTTTATCTTGAGTACCCCGGCACCCTTTTCTGACACTGTGATGAGTACCAGCACCTTTTTTTCTGAAAAAACTCCTGCCAATGACACATACTGTTCAGTGTGATGTCAAGAAGTGGCTGGCCGCAAAGCTCACATTCTTATTCAACATGTGACAAGGTCCCATGGAACCAGAAATTGGTAATAGGAGAAAATATGGAAAGGACGAGCTAATATGCAAATGTGCTGATTATGGGACCTGTGTTGTTTACAGTTAATAAATACACACAGGGAGCCGCTGTGGTGTAGCGGTTAGATGCAGACCTGTGGATCGGAAGGTTGTGGTTCAGATTCAAATGGAGCCAGACTTTTTTTTCTCTCTCACTCCTTCCCCCACCCCCCCCCACCCCGCCCCCCCCCCCCCCCCCCCCCCGCCCCCCCCCCCCCCCCCCCCCCCCCGCCCCCCCCCCCCCCCCCCCCCAAATGCTCTTGGCTCCCAGGTCAAATCATCCTTGAATGAGTACCAGGTAAAGTCCTGGGAAGTAAAGGCAGCCGACATAATGTTGACTACATCACCCACCGTCTGCCAGTTAGTCTATAAAATATAGATCTAGCATCATATACACAATATGCCTAAGGTGTGAAAAAGGGTCCCTTACTTATATACATATATATACACACACACACACACACACACACATATATATATATATATATATATATATATATATATATATATATATATATATATATATATATATATATATATTTGTATGTATGTAGTTCTTTCTTTTGTTATTTTCTCCTGTTACTAGTTCTCATTTTTATTATTTTCTCCCGTTACTAGTTCTTTCTTTTATTATTTTCTCCTTTTACTAGTTCTTTCCTTCGTAATTTTTTGTGTCTTTTTGCTTAATCATATCCGCTCGACTGCAATAACTTTATGTTGTCAGTAGAGTTTCTAGCTCTGACCTGTAACCAAAACAGTGTTGGAAAACAAGTATTTTGCTCTCAGTTTTGTGTCTGCTAATTTCTTTTTTAGAGATACATATCCAATGATAATGGTGGCCAACAAAGTAGATCTCATTCATCAGAGGGTTGTCACAGAAGAACAAGGTTTTAACCTGGCCACCAGTCTAAAGGTACCTATGTGTGTGTGATTGTGTCTGTGTGTGTCTGCGTATGTGTATGCATGTGTGTGTGTGTCTGTGTGTGCGTGTGTGTCTGTCAGTGTGTGTGTCTGTGAGAGTGTCTGCGTATGTGACTGCATTTGTGTCTGTGTGTGTGTTTCTGTGTGTGTGTGTGTATGTCTGTTTGTGCATGTCTATGTATGTTTATGCATGTATCTATATATTTATGTGGGTGTGTGTAAGATGGTGGGTTGGCATGTGGATGGGTATACGCGCTCATGTGCGCATGCATTTTACTACCCATCGCTTTTGTATTTTTTCTTGATATTTATAATATGCAAATTTGTTTATGAACATAACATGCTTTATTGATCAAATACAAGTGCTTTGTGAAAGACGGGTGTTTGGAAGTGCTGAATGTAAGACGGGCCTGCATGCCCAATTTGTGACCCTTTGAAAATATAAGTTTGTTCATTTGTTCATTCTTATTCTCTTCATCCAGTTACCTCATCAGTGTTGGGGGAGATGTAGGAATCTTTAGTGTGCCCTTTCTGATTTGTTGGATAAGTTGATCTTCATTTCATTAAGGTTTTGTCTTTATCCTGTTATTTAAACTTTTGTGTGGTCTTCCCGTTGCTCTGTGTTTATTATGTTTCTTCATATAAATAAACACATAAATAAACTTCTTTCTATGAGTGCCGATCAATACATTGTCTCTTTGTTAATTAGATTTCTTCAGCGTGGTAGTTGGTACCAGGGCAGTCCTTGTCAGATGGCTGTTTAATCTTCTTCTTCTTGATGTTCATCCGTAGTTAGTACCAGGGAAGTTCTTGTCAGATGGACAAATGATTCTTTCTGTTGCTATTTAATCTTCTTCTTCTTGATGTTCATCGGTAGTTAGTACCAGGGAAGTTCTTGTCAGATGGACAAATGATTCTGTCTGTTGCTATTTAATCTTCTTCTTCTTGATGTTCATTTGTAGTTAGTACCAAGGAAGTTCTTGTCAGATGGACAAATGATTCTGTCTGTTGCTATTTAATCTTCTTCTTCTTGATGTTCATTCGTAGTTAGTACCAGGGAAGTTCTTGTCAGATGGACAAATGATTCTGTCTGTTGCTATTTAATCTTCTTTTTCTTGATGTTCATTGGTAGTTAGTACCAAGGAAGTTCTTGTCAGATGGACAAATGATTCTGTCTGTTGCTGTTTAATCTTCTTCTTCTTGATGTCCGTTAGCTGTAAATTCAGGCAAAAAGTTCCGGTTGTTTGTCAAGTTGTCGATTTTTATTTTGTTTCAGAACATAAGTTTTGCATGAAAATCCATTTGACAAATCTGGCTTATTTGTATGCAGACTGTTGATTCCTCGCCTTTCAGGCAGATCTACTTCGACTTCAAAGGACACACCTCTAAATGGTCTACTTCTACAACATTCATTTTAGGAGGGTGCATTGTCTTTATCTGCCCCCTCTCCCCCCCCCCCCCCACCCTCTCTACACACAGTGGTAGCCCAGAATCCACACGGGTAGTTGCTCTTTCATGAGCTCAGTAACTTTTCAGTGTCAAAAAGTAGCTCCAGTGTTGACCATGAATTATTCTGAGAAGTAAGGACCACACATATAACCATGTGACTTATCTGTATCCCTGTGGGTCTATAAAATTATGGTACTTGCACCATATATCCCATGAGCTTGCATCAAGCCCGGAGAAAAGCCGTTTACTTTATTTACCTACTTCCTAGTGTGGGTTCCAGATTGGCTTTTTGAGAGGAAAAAGTATAGACCCAGTGCTTGTCAACATCATTATCAATTAGCAGGCCCTTTACAAAACACTACCTTTATCAGGGCATCCCTAAAAGTGTCTCTTTCTCTAGCTGGTTCTCCGGCTTATGTGCTTTCATAGTCAGTGCACCCTCAGTGTCTTCATTCACGGAGGTCTGCCCCTGAATTGTTTTCCAGAAATTGTACCCTGCATCACTATGACATTTAACATGGCCAGATTACCTCAGCTTCCAAGATGAGATGCTGTTTATGAGCCAGTTTTCCTCAGTGCTCAAACCATGCAAGGTGTTAATATGTTTTTTTTTTATTATTCCAATGTATTCTAAGAATTGTTCTGTAGAATTTCAGCTCAGAAGCTCAGATTTTGTGCTCTTAAACAAGCATGTCAAAAAAGATGACTAATTAGGTATTTGATGAATTAGCATGTATTGGGTTGGCATGCAATGATATCACAGCTAAACCACAGCCTAATATACAAGCCGCCCTTATAGGGCACTTGCAGAAGAAGAAGACTTTACTTACATAAATTCTGAAGCTCATATTCCTGGAATAGGTTCTATCAGCATTTTCTTAGGAGGAACAGATGGCAGGATAAGGTACTGGTCATTCCACACATCTGCAAGAAACTCTGCTACATGATAACCACACTATTTTACATCAGTAATCCTCTAATTGACATCTTCCCTCAGATACCATACATTGAAACAAGTGCTAAAGACCCACCACTGAATGTTGATCTGGCATTTCATGAGGTGATCCGAGTTATAAGGTCAGTGTATAGCGACTTTAACAGCCATTTTCAATTGTTTTGATCTAAGATTTAACTACACTGTTACTAGACTTCGGTATCTGTAAGTTTTGAAAAAGGGTAAGACTTTAAAGAGTGTGGGTCTGTAGCTTAGAGGTAAGTGAATGTGGTTGACACTGTCATGTTCCTTGAGTGCTGGGGTTTGATTTACTATATTCAGGCATGTTGGGCATATAGTGCTAGGCCTATATTTTATAGACCAGTTGGCACTCGGTGTGTGATGTGATCAACATCAAGACGACCGCCTTTTCTTCCAAGGACATTACCTGATACCAGTTTAAGGGTGGCTTGATCTATGAGCCAAGGTCATGTTTGAAAAAATCTGACTCTGATGGAGATTTGAATCCATGACTTTCCATTCCGCAGGCAAGCTCCTAACCACTAGATCTCATTTAACCTGAACTTCCAAAGCTTCATAAATTCTTTCTGTGTTATTCCTCTGCTAGGTGTGTATGATGAAGTTAAAAGTTACCTATTGTTTCTGTGTTATTCCTCTGCTAGGTATGTAAGATGAAGTTAAAAGTTAACTATTGTTTCTGTGTTATTCCTCTGTTAGGTGTGTAAGATGAAGTTAAAAGTTAACCATTGTTTCTGTGTTATTCCTCTGCTAGATGTGTAAGATGAAGTTAAAAGTTACCTATTGTTTCTGTGTTATTCCTCTGCTAGGTGTGTAAGATGAAGTTAAAAGTTAACCATTGTTTCAGTGTTATTCCTCTGCTAGATGTGTAAGATGAAGTTAAAAGTTACCTATTGTTTCTGTGTTATTCCTCTGCTATATGGGTAAGATAAAGTTTAAAGTTAACCATTGTTTCTGTGTTATTTCTCTGCTAGATGTGTAAGATGAAGTTAAAAGTTACCTATTGTTTCTGTGTTATTTCTCTGCTAGGTGTGTAAGATGAAGTTAAAAGTTACCCTTTGTTATTTGGGTGCTTGAACTAGGAGTTATTGTTTGTAAAATTAACAATGCTTGATGCAATCATTTGATAATAGCGACCATCATGCCTAATGTTAGCTTATATTTTAACCAATTAATTCAGTATTACCGAATATGTTTTCTGTTCTTTAAAACATAGCCTGTACAAGTAATCTCAAGATTAAAACACGCTTTCAGTAAGACAGGAGTCATGCTAGAGGATGCAGACAGACATAGATCTGCGAACAAAACTAAAAATCCTAAAGGAAATAGACCCTGGTGCATTGAAGAAAACAACAAATGCTGAACAGTATGGAACTGCCTAGTCTACCTTATCTGCAATATTTACAGATCATGAAATAAATTCTTTTTGCTGCTGCATCACACTCTCGGAATGAATCTAAGTGACTTTATTTTGCTAAATACAAAGATATCAAAATATTAATTCTAGAATGGTTGAGTTATATGCATACTTCCATTCCTCCTTTAGGTAAGCATATAATTTATCGGAAGCAAATGAGGCACAAACAAAAAATGTAGACATGTAAGATTTCACAAGTTTCGCTGGTTGGCTGTACCGGTTCAAAAAGAGACACAATTTCATCTTTAGTGATTTGTGGTGAAGCAGATAAAGTTGCTGAAGAAGGAGCAAATAACTGGTTGAATGCTGTAGAGGAATTATGCCTCATATTATGTGTACAGATGGGAAAAAAACTGCTTTTCTGATGTTAGTATGAGATTCGCACTGTGGAAGAGACTGGGGTCTCACCAGGTAATATTCCCACAGACAACATTGGTACACTGTAGCAGCCTCTAGTGTGAAGACAGCACATAATTTTGTTTTCCCCTGTTGCAACACTGAAATTTAAGTCCGCAGTTAGCATGTAATTAGGTTAACACAAACTGTTTTTTCAGTCCCTTAGAGTTTGTGTTAAGAGGGTTACTGAATATGGCTTAATGGAAAATCTGTATGATTTTTTATGTCTGTGACTGTAATTTGTGTAGTTATTACTTTTTGTTGTTGTTGCAGGTGCCAGCCTTCCCCAAAGAAGAAGAAGAAAGCTGTTGGAAGTGGATGGAGATGTGCCGTGCTGTGACTCACCAAACTGGTCATACTTTTCATGAGATGAATTTCACTGAGTCCTCATGACTCTCCTGGCAGATCTGATGCATTGTTGTGTTGATTGGAGGCATCCATCCACCTGTTATGTGAATTGTTTCCAGGTGCGTCAGGCTGTTGTTCATTGTTACAGTTTGAAAGGGATAATGTTTATAGATTTGGCTAAAAAAATATTTACACATTTTAATAATGGTGTGGTCTGTGGAGTCTTTTTTCAGAATTAGATTAAATTACGGTAGCAGGGTCCTTATTTGTGATCCTGGGGTCCATTTTGAGGGGAAAAAGAGAATAAACCTGCTACACCCCTCCCTCCTCCCCTACAACAAGTTATGTCTGACAAGGCACATATTAGGGGTTTGCTGAATCCACATGTATTGGGGAAGATAATTTATCGACGAGGGCGTGATAGACAGGAGATCGCCAGCACTATGCACAAAGAACTCGATCGAATTGCCGCCTGGTGTGATGGTTCCAATGCCTATGTCAATCCTTCGAAGGCATCAGTGTCATGGTTCTCTTTGAACAATCACATTGTCAAGTCGGACTTACCAGAAGTGAAAATGCGTGATAATGTATTGATCAGAACCAACGTTATGACGTTTCTCGGGGTGAGGTTCGATCGCAGCTTGTCATTCAGGGAACACGTTGACCATGTGATAACAAAAAGCACGCAAAGGTCTATCTGCAATGAGGATTATGGCTGCTTCCAATATTGAGCAAAGACTACTAATACTTCTATTCTACGGTCTGGTCCTTTCCCCCATTGAATACGCTCTGGCCATCCTCACTGTCAGTGCTACCCAGATTGAACGACTCGAAAAGGTGCAAAATGAAGCCATGCGCATTATTTTGGGATGTACTAGAGACACATCCTGTGGAGCAATGAGGTATCTACTTGACTTTCCAACAATGAACCAAAGGATCAGGATGTGGAGGGCTCGGGCATATCTCAAAATATGCGCTGATAAGAAACACCCACTGCATCAAGCGCTTTTTAGTGAAAAGGGCGACAGACTGAAGAGGGGGAAATCGTGGCTAGGTCGGGCAGAAGATGTTATTAGGCAAATATGCAGCCTAACCGACATCATACCTGGTGCAGAATGGATACCTGTACCTCAGGCGTTTATTTGTACATTTTCCTGTATTGTCACACTCAACAGGCGATGTAGAGATGAGAATCCTGTTGCTGTTAATGCAGAGGTCAACGCTCTCATCGGTGAAAATTCAGACGAAGCAGATGCAATAATCTATACAGACGGATCCGTTATATGCCAAAGAAGAAGCGCATGGGCATTTACAGCACGCTCAGCGGGCAGAACAGTCACAGAAGCCAACGGCGCCTTCTCCATGACAACCAGCAGCATGACGATGGAAGTGATGGCAGTGACACAAGCGCTTGCCTGGCTTGAAACACAAAAATACACCCGCGTGTGTATACTCAGTGATTCAATGAGTATGATCCGGAGGGTTCAGGCAGGTTCAGTGCGAAGACAATGGCTTGAATCATTACAGAAGTCCACTGTTCGTGGAGTCACCTTTATTTTTGTTCCGGGACACGCAGGCGTCAATGGAAATGAAAGAGCTGACAGGTTGGCTGGATCCGCTATCACTACCGACGGTCAGCCTATGGATCATGCTGATATTATCAATGCCCTCAGAGAAATGGGAAGAATAGAGGACTTTGGTGGCAGTGAATCCACATCACTCGCCAGAATGGCAGACTTGGGAATTAAGATCGGCACAGCAAAAAACGAGACGCACACCAGCTACGCCAGAAGACTTGTTAATCAACATAGAACTGGTACTATTAGCCATCGGACGTTGGGGTTCATACTGAGGGGAGGATCTGAGCACCTATGGACATGTCCGGAGTGCAATGAGGATAACCCAACTAACTAACTAACTAACTGGGGAAGATATCACAATCTAGCTGTAAACCACAATACAGCATGCAAACCACCCTTTAAAGGACGAGCGCAGAAGAAGAAAATCACATGGTATTGTATGGATATAGTATTATAATTTTTATACGGGTTTCTCATTTGTTGAAGTGTAAATTCATTTTTTGATGGAGTTTGCACATGTAAACATATTTGACTACATCTGTTGGAATCATTTGACACCAAACTTTACATTGTTGATAACAATCAATAGCAGTTAAATAACATTGGTTTTTTTCCCTTGTGGGTTCGTGGGCCCCATTGTGGGGGAGTACAAGAATAGACCCACTGTCTCCCCCCAAAAAAGCATTTCATAGGGGTGACTTCCTTTGAAGTTGGAGTACATCTGCTTGAGTGGCAAGGAACAACCGACTGCACACAGATAAGTCAGTAAAACGGATGTACATGCAAAACTCAGGCTCTGGCACAATGCCAAGGTCAGAAAAGATGAACAACCAGGACTTTCTGCCAGAGTTTACAGTCGGTGAACAGAAAAGAAATATTGGTGTTATGTAGAGAAATTCAAAAACCACTGCCCCCGAAATATTTTTATAATCTATAGTTTCCTTAACATCATGATTCACAATATAATTGTTGTTTTAATATATATATATATATATATATATATATATATATATATATATATATATATATATATATATATATATATATATATATATATATATACACATACACACAAATGGACAATAAATCAATTACAAACAAGAACATATAAAATCATTGATCTTCGTTTTGAAATCAATCACAAAAACTCCACACCAGGCATGTTGTCACAGGTTTGAGATCTAGACAGTATTTGGTATGAGTTGCAGGTAAAGGGTTATGATTTGGGTCGTAACTAAAGTTTATAATTTCTTTTTTAAAGATAAAAGTCGATCAGACATTGAGGCTCTTAGGAGAAAGGGGTTTGAAATTAAAACCATCTGGGCTTTTGCAATGACAACATTATTGCTCATTAATTTAATTTGTGTTTCTTAAAAGATGTAGTCAGATTGTTTTACTTATTTCTATTCAAAAGGTTTTATTTTAGGTTAATTGTTTTGTACTTGCCTAGTTGATGTATACCTAAGCCTCATTGCATTATTATTATACTTATCCTGGCTGTCATGTACCAAGTTTTGCTGTTGTGTACTCAGCTGAAATACTTTGAAATGTTTATTGTTTCATTTTCACTTGGCTGTGTCATATAATGACTTATGGTGTGTAATATTATTTGTAACATATGTTATGAAATATTATGGTAGTAAGATGTTCACAGTATAGTTTTAAAATATGAAATGGTACGATTTGGAAAATATAATGCTTTCTCATTTGTCTGCTGTATGGATGTATGTATGTTTTTATGTATGTATATATATATATATATATATATATATATATATATATATATATATATATATATATATATATATATATATATATATATATATATATATATATGGTGAAGCTGCTTTGAAGTACCTTTAGTGTCACTTTGTGATGGTGTGGGGGTCCTTTAGCCTGAATTTAGGTCTGCAGTCGTCGTGAACTGTGCAGGTTAGAGTGCTATTTTTTTAAATGTGTGCCCCAGACATTACCAAGCTTTCATCACTTTATCTAAGTTTCGAACCTGTGTTTTCTGTATGAGAATCCAGTGTTGTAATCACTCAGCTAGCTACTCCTCTAATTGTATGGTAGGTGCGGTATGCTGTAGTAAGTGCTTTGCTGGTTAACAAAACATGTATAAGTGACAACGACCTAGGCCACGAGCAGTGTTTTTATGAAAGTCCATAATATTTTGGTTTTTCCCCTATTGGCTGCTAGTTTTATTTCTATTTGAAGAAAAGACTATGCGTCTAGCATCATCTGCATGATTCACCCATGGTTTGAAAAAGGTCCTTTACTTTTAACTTTACTTACTGTGATGTAATGACAAAATGTTATTGGCAATAATCAGGACACTAGATTTCAATAACTGAACAATTTAAGTTATCATGATGTCCTTTTTGGGGATCTAGTGTGCCCTAATGTTCATATTGAGCCTGAATCCTAGTCTGTAGGCAACAGTCAAGTTTCTGCTGTTATGTTGTTTCCCTTTCTTACATTCCAGGACTTTTACATACATATATGTGTTAGATATTGTGTATCCCCAGTGAAATAACGTTTTTTTCTAAAATATGGATATGATGAATGTGCTGATTTGAAAAATGTAAATCTTTATAACGTATACACATTTGTTGTGTGATGTTATGCTGGCTTTTCAAATTATACAAACAGATCTAATAAGTACTGTTTTTGGCCAACTTTATGTTGCTGGTGTCCAACATGGGCTCTTATTCGAACTAATGAGCACAACAATTATAACAACAGAGATGAGATGTCTTAGAAGAGCAGCCGGAGTGTTAAGAAAAGATCAAATCAAAAATGAAGAAATTAGAAAGCTAGGACTAAAACCAGTGATACGGGTTATTAAATAGCAACAGATGAGAAGGTTTGGCAATCTGATACCAACTGCTACAGTGAGCCATGCTGAAGAAGTATAATGGACACAGCGCAAGAGAAAGAAGACTGTGTAGAAGATGAAATGACTGCATAAATAAAACAGCCTCAAAGAAATGAATACCAACTTATACGTTGGATTGAAAAGAGCACACAGAAAATCCTTACATCTCCTCCAGAACTTTGTGGAAGTAATTGGAGGAACTGAGGAAGAAGATCCTTACATCTCCCCCAGAACTTTGTGGAAGTAACTGGAGGAACTGAGGAAGAAGATCCTTACATCTCTCCCAGAACTTTGTGGAAGTAACTGGAGGAACTGAGGAAGAAGATCCTTACATCTCCCCCAGAACTTTGTGGAAGTAACTGGAGGAACTGAGGAAGAAGATCCTTACATCTCTCCCAGAACTTTGTGGAAGTAACTGGAGGAACTGAGGAAGAAAATCCTTACATCTCCTCCAGAACTTTGTGGAAGTAAATGGAGAAACTGAGGAAGAAGATCATTATATCTCCCCCAGAACTTTGTGGAAGTAACTGGAGG